TTTGGATAAATGATTATAAATTAGAAATGAATTTGGCACTAGAGTGAGGCATTAGGCACCATCTCTTATTAAAATTAATAATTATAATATTTAATTAATTAATTTAGATTAAACTGGAAGAAAAGAATCAGCCCGAAGTGGGACTTGAACCCATAACTTCCGCTTAACGTGTGGACGTGTTGCCAGTTATGCAACCTGAACCTTTGGTCTGATCTTCTCTTCCAGCATATATAAGTTAAAATTTTCTTCCAGTTTAATCTAAATTAATTAATTAAATATTATAATTATTAATTTTAATAAGAGATGGCACCTAATGCATCACTCTAGTGCCAAATTCATTTCTAATCTATAATCATATATACATATATAATCTTTTAAAAAGAAGCAGAGTTAATTTTTCAAAAGGCTGAGTAAGTCAAAGTATAAGACCACAAATTTTTTAAAATATCAAATTATTTTTCTGATAAAAATTCTTACAGATATATAAATGCAATTTTAGTTTAAAAATTTCTTTTTTTGTTTTAAATAAGTGATTTCCAATAAATCCACATGACTATATACAAAATCATAGTGTCATAAAGCTATAAGCAATAACTTTGATGATTAGTTATATATAACTATTCATATTTCCTTTACAAATTAGTACACTTGATGTGTGTTATTGCCAATCGTAATTAATGAGTTTACTCAAACAAGTTAGTCCAAATCTCACAACCCTACAGATCTCATTAAAAAAATTTTTTTTAAATATTAAATTTTACCTAAATTTTGTCTACAATTTTTAAATGAATAAATATTATAGAATTTCATTTTATATTACAATCTTATACAATGGCTTTTATGTAAAATTTACATAAAATCTGACATTTTTTATGTTTCAGACCAATCTCACACCAAAATAGCATCTTATGGATTTTTACTATAGAAATTTCACTCATGTCTGATCTAAAGATTCATAAATGTACCGTATTTTCAATAATAATAATAATAATAATAATGTAAACAATATAAAAAGTTCTTTAATTAAAACTTATTTCTGTATATAAAATATATTTGTGTGTGTGTTATATTCTCCATTCTCTGTATTAATTACTAGCTGTACCAGGCCACACATTGCTGTGGCTCAAAATGTATCTATTATAAATGTATAACACTCCCCATGGGAGGGAATTTCGAAAAATCCCTTCTTAGTGTACATTCTCTTGACATATCCTATTAAAATGCAATCAAAAACGCAAAAAACCGCACTTAAAATAGTATAATAGAAACCGAGTTCTTCACGGTAAGCCTTAATTTTGTTCCTCTCCCCCACGGGGGGAATTTCGACATCTATATAATATACAAGTTTGGACACATGCACTGCATATCTTGCCAACCATGTGACTGTGCTGTGCGGTTACCTATCTCATATACGTACACACCTTGCCCTTTGCCACCCACTGACACCAAAAATATAACATTTACCTAGATAATATCTTTTAATTTATATGAGTGTTTAACAGAATAACATACAGCCTATGTCAACCCTAAAGGTCCATTCTAAATATTGGTGAAATAATTTTTGAAATTGGATGAGTAGTTTCGGAGATTACCTCCTACATCCAAACTTACAAACTTTACCTCTTTATAATATTAGTATAGATTTCAGTTTATGCTTACTTACATAATAATAATATAACATTGAAAAAAAATTATATCTAGCCAGCAAAATTGTTTACTCAAATGTGTTCAACTTTTTTCAAAGAACCATCTACAGGTTATGTGAGTACTTACATGTAGAAAACAATGTATAAAATTCAAAAATTGATACTTGAAAAATCAGAGTAGAATGCAAGAAGTGATTATCAAATAATATTTGGAAAAAAGAAGATAAACCTATAATGAGCAAAAATTATTGTGAAATTGTCACAATGCCAGGCTGCAATTTTTAATTATNTTAAGTTATTTCTAAGTTTTATTTTTTGGCATGCATTCTAAATGCTTAAAAACATTAATTGGTTCCAAATCAGAAATCTACAGAACTGAAGAGCTGTAAGTTAATATCTAAATGTTAAAATTTTGTCAGTTCCCATATTTTTAAATTATTTCAGCAATTCTATGAGGCATTAATTCTGCTAATCCACAGTTTTTCTAATGACTTCTGACCCATTCTTCTGCCAGAAGGGTTGGAATTTATGCTGATTCACTTTTCTCTTTAAATACTGCTTAACATTCTTGATTGAGGTCTTGTCAGGGCTTCCAGAAGACCATGGAAGAACTTAGTTTTTAGAACATAGTTTTTCAAAACCAACCTTTGTAGGAATCCTAACAATAAACTCCTAGTAACCCCAACCCTATAAACCTTCAGCCATTTGGGATCAGAATATGAATTCTTTTGTATTTGACTTTATATAAACTAATACAAAATCTGCATAATATTAATCTTAGTTGTCTATGTACAATAGTAAAATAAAATAATATACATATTTTCTTCTTTCATTTCACAGTTTTTGAAAACTGTTTAAAAACTGCTATAAACTGATATTATTTGTTTAAAACAGTTAATGAAACAAATTAAACAAAAGATGCCAAATCTGGGTTATA